ATGAGCCTTGCCAACTGCTCTCAGGGAGAGCCAGAATCAGTTTCCTAAGTCTTGGGGCTACCTTGTCCCAGGACAACTAGGTTGTCCTTAGGTTCTAGTCTGAATAGGAAAAGTGAGTAGGGTACTGGGGGTGTAGCTCAGTGGGTAGTGTGCTTGCCTGACATGGGCGTGGTGGCACGAGCCAGTTTGATCTCAGCCTTTAGAAGCTAGAGCAGGATCAGAAGGTGATGATCATCCCTAGTAGTAGGTGGAAGCCAGCCTGGGATATGTGAGACCTTGACTTTTCAAACAACATTCTATGAGTATGACAGTGTACCAATTATTGACCTAGCTTTCTGGTTTTTTTAAATTATTTTATGTGTATTGGTGTTTTGCCTGCATGCATACTACTTGGTTGCCTGCACAAGCCAGAAGAGGGTGTCTGAGTCCCAGGAATTGGAGTTACAGATGGTTGTGAATCACTTTTGGGTGGACCGAGAATCAAACGTGGGTTCTCTGGGAGAGCAGCTAGTAGTGCCCTTAATTGCTGAGCCATCTCTCCCTATGGGCCTAGTCTTAAAAGATCTTGACTATTTATAGCACTCCCCACCATCTCATGTCAACCTGCAAGATTAGGTGTCATGAGAAGAGAACCACAGTGCCCAGTAGACAGGGAGCTTGCCCAAGAAGCAGCCCCCAAAAGAAGAGTGGTCCATCAGGGCTCATCCCAATCTGGGCTCAAACTGAAAAGTTCAAGCACAAATAATGTATTTGACAGATAACCAATAAATAGTGCATATAGATAGAATGCCAAGACTTGCTTATTTGAAATTAGCTTGATAAGAATTCTGCATATTATATACCAGTTTCCGTTTTTCCTTATATTAATGCTAAATCCTGTTAGATTATTTTTTAATTCTAGAGCAGTGGTTCTCAACCTTCTTAATGCTGTAACTGTTTAATACAGTTCTTCATGTTGTAGGACCGGCAATCAGAAAATTATTTTGTTACTTCATAACTGTAGTGTTGCTACTGTTATGAATCAGAATGTAAATTATCTGATATGTTGCCTGTGGGGGTCACAACCTACAGGTTGAGAACCACTGTTCTACAGAAATGCATGTAGACTTGTACACAGGTTTAAGTGCTAGTGGTTCCGCACGGCTTAGTAACAAAACTGTATTTAATAATTTCATGTTGGTCACATTGAAATAACATTGTTTTTTATAATTTAAGAAAGTTGAAAAGGGGCCATTAATGCCAAGGATTCACCAACCATATAAAAAGTTTCATAATAGCACCAATTAAAAAACATTAGCCAAGCACTGTACATGCCTGTAATCCTAGTGGCCAGGGAGACTGAGATAGGACAGACAGGCCTTCTTGAAGTACTCAAAATCCTATCTCAAAAGCTCGTGTGAAGCCCTGGGTTCAAACCCAATATCACTAAAAATAATGTCTGATTTGTGGCCCCTCTTTTGTCTTTCACATCCACTGTTCTCCATTTTGCATTTAAAGTGCTTCCTCCCGGGATCTCTGTCATCCACTTCTTTGTTTGATGATCAGTCTAAAACAAATCGGATCTCATAAAATTAGGACCCTAACCATCACTTTATATATAATAGGCTTGATTACTGTTCTTTTACTTTGAAGAGACTATAACACTATGAACTCTTAGGAAAGAAAGCGTTTATCTGGGGACTTTATGGTTTTAGAGAGTTCTCCGTGATCATGATGGCAGTAAGCAGAAAGGCGTAGTGGAAGAGTAGCTGGGATCTTTGCATCCTGACTCACAGGCCTCAGGGTGGCACTGAATCTAGCATGGGCTTTAGCAGCCTCAAAGCCCATCCCATTGACACACCTGTCCAACAAGACACCTCTTAATCCTCTTCAAAACAGTCTACCAGCTGGGGACCAGACGTTCAGATATATGAGCCTATGGGAGCCATTCATATCTACACCACCACAACCCGGCCCCTGGCCATCAATAGTTTATAGTCCAGCTTCAAAAGTCCCCATGGTCTTTGAGTTGCAATACTCTTTCCAAAGTCCATGTCTCTTGAGACTCAACTGTCAAATCAAAAAGCAAATCATATACTCCAGCACACAGTGCCACAGACTATGCATTGATATCCTTCATGGGAGGCAAGGGGACAGACATAAGGAAGCATCATCAGAACAAACTCCAGATCCTGTATCTTTGTGTCCTATGGCAAAGGACTTAGATGACTCTTCCTCTCTTCCATCTTTGCTGACTGCAATATCTACTATTTCTGATTGATGCTACAGTTTTCCCTGACAGCTATCCCACAGCTCTGGCATCTCTTTACATCTTGGGGTCTCCAAGACAATCCAGGCTTCCCCTTCACAGCTTCATGAAATGACTGGTCTCTCCAGGCCTCCATGCAGGACTCCCTGCCACAAGCATGGCCTCGTTAACTGGAAAAAGATTCCGTATCCCTTTTCTGTGTCTTTCTGAACACTAACGCCAGAACCATGTGGCCCTAGATGCCAAAATCTGTTTTCTGGTGCTGGAACCTGGCCCCTCCTTGAATTATATTTGCATAAACCTTACATTGTTGATTTTCTTTGTTCCTTAAACTTTGCTTACTCTATTCAGCAGTTGGAGACTTAGCTGGGTGGAGTCTTGCCCTGAGACAATAAGGTGTTCCCTTCATTCCATTTTGACTGAGTCCTTTAAACTTGTGTCCCCTTGAGCACAGGGCTTGGCTCCAACAGGATATTCCCCAGTACCCTTTTGCCCCACAAACTGTCTATACATTTTGTATTTCTCTTTACAGCCTGATCCACAGGCAGAGAGTGGCACGGAGCCTGGCTTGGGCTTTTGAAACCTCAAAGTTTGAAACCACTCCCAGTGACAACCTCCAACAATCTCCTAATCCTTCCTAAAACAACCAGTTTGTCCCCAGACATTTGCATATAGGAGCCTATAGGGGCATTCTCATTCAAACACCACAAATACTATGGTGAAAAGACAGAAAATGACATGTAAACATGTATGAGCCAGTGGAAAAGGAAATATAGTACAGTGTTCTTGCCATCTTCCTTGATAAGAAACTATTAAAAATACAAATTCTGGTCAGGCATCACACTCATCAATGAGAGACCAAAGGAATGATGTCTCTCCTGTCAAGACTGGTGAACCAGGAGCATGGGTAACCCCCAAACAGCCACATACCCGAAAAGCCCCACACCAGCATAGATGACAATGTTCCCATAACTACATTAATGGACTTCTGTCTAGTTCTCATTCTATGTTTGTATTCTCTTAACATTTTCCAAGACCTTGTGTAACTGGGGCAGAATTACAGGCTTCTGAAAGAGGCATGGGGGAGAGTGGATAGGATCTTGGGGTAGTCTAACCAGGGAAAGCTAACAGCCCCAGCTGTGTAGAGTAACTCATGCTTGAAGTAATCACCTGCTCTCTTGGTGGACAACACTCCGCAACACTGGTACACTGGGAAATAATAGGCAGTGACAGTTTATGGTAGAATGTCTTCTCAAATGGGAAGCCAAACATAGGCATAGCATAGAGACGTAAATGGGGTCTCCCTCTTCTACTCTCTGGACTCCGGTCAACACAAGTGAACTCAAGACTATTAACTGTACATGATGTCTTTTAGGGACAGCATACCAAAGTATTTCATCACCTGGCTCCAAAACCAAACCTACAAGACCAAAGTCTGGAAGATAGAATACTTGATAGGATTGGTGGATCCTTCTGATATTGCATTTACTTTCACAGGTAGGAAGTTCTTTTGATAAGCAATTTTGTATGGGACACTGTTTAAAGTCCTCATACAAAGCTTTCACAAATGAAGTGATATGTATAAAAGGAAACAATTCAGGGAAAACAGTCCAAACATCATAATTATTTAAAAGCAAATTGCTACCTTCTTCATGATAGTTGGATTGATTCCCTTAATCTTTTGGACTGCTTAATACTCTAGTACAGGTCAAGTCAGTCATTGGAACTGCTAAGTAGTGGTGCTAGCCAATTAGTCCCGGGAGGGGAAAGACAGTTAAATGTACATGTACGCCTTTGTTCTTAATACCTTTGTGGGTGTATTAGTGGAGCCACAGAGCAAGCAGCTGTGGTAAGAAAAGTTGCTATCGCGGGTCTTCTTGATGGTCAACTCTTTTGACTCCAAGACAGGGATTTCATGAAGTAATTCATCCAAACAGCTATGGATTTGTTTTGTTTTCTAGTAATGGGGGAGGGGAGAGCTTTTCATTATTTGTCATTTATATAGGTTTTTACATGAAAAATTTTAAGGTTTTTTTTAATGAGTGTTTTGCTGGCATGTATGTATGTATGTATGTTGTGTGCATGCCTACTGTCAACAAAGTCCAGAAGAGGCTGTCAGACACTCTGGAACTGGAGTTACAAACCTGTGAGTTGCCATGTAGGTGCTGGGACTAAATGCAGGTCCTTTGAAACAGAAGCCGTCTCTCCAGCCCCTCAAGATTTTAAAATATTTTTTAAAAGATCTCTGACACGGCACCATCTCAATAATCACATGACTGAATATGCCGAACTTACTAAAATTTTGTTTTTAAAATATGGGAAGGTTCACTATAATTAAATCTTTATGTATTTTAACTACAGATTTATGGAGCAATACTTTGGCACACCTATGTGGTATGTGATGAAACTTAAAAATTATTCGTATCTAGTCAGTATATATATATGTTATTAATGCATGTCTAAAATACGTAATCAGATTAAGTTGATTCATGTTTCCGGCTCCTTGTTGTGCTTTGAACTTCCTCCTCTAGATAGGCAAGCACACTACACACTAGGGTGGTGTGAACTCTAGAACCTGTAACTTCCGTGCAGGCTTTCGGTTTTGTCTTTTGTGTCCTTTGGAATGGCTAAGAGCGATTGCCAGGGACAGAGTCCGATAGAGGTTGGGGGCGTGGCTATGCAGAATTACAAGAGGCAGTACTGGGAGGCCTGAACCGGGTCAGTCCGACGGACAAAGCGAAGCTCCGCCCAATTCTGCTGTCGTTGACGCCTGCGCAGACCGCCCGCGCGGGTCCCCTGTGGAGCTCCGCGGTGGCTGTGAGTGCGCAGGCGCTGCGGGAGAAGGCAGTATGGTCTCGACAGGCCTTACGGGGTCTCTGGTGGCCTCCTTCTGGAGAGCAACAAGTAAGGCGATCCGCCCGGGGTCCCGAGACTCGGGGACCCTCCGGGAAAGCCGGTTTCTGACATGCAAATGCGCCGGCGCGGAGACCTGGCCGCGATGCCTTGTGACCTCCTGGGTCGAGCCTTTCCGGTGTGCTTAGCGGAGGGACCCAGGCTTTGCGGGTGGGTTGCTAGGAGCGCCTTGCACTGGGATGCAGCTGGGATAGTATGGAAAAGAAGGTCACTTCGGGGATGAGTGTCATTAATTTATTGTTTGCTTACATCAAGAATAATTTGTACCGGGCAGGTGGTGCATACCTTTAGTCCAGCATTAAGAACGCAGAGGCAGGAGTATCCCTGAGTTCAAGGTCAGCCTGGTCCAAATGTACCGCAAACTAGTCAGATAGATGAGTACACGTAACGAAAAGCACCCGAATCCAAGACCTGTTAGAAAAGATACTTGCATGCTTTCTGTAGAAACTAACGTTTTCAAAACTGTTGCATTATTTCTCAGTATTTTCCTCAATTAGCATCCCGAAGATGCAGAATGTTAGTTTAATTGATGACTTCGCTGAGAAATTACGGAAACTGAAGACAGAATCACTGCTGTCTTAACAAGTAGCCCGAATTTTTTTTATAAATAAACTTTCCAGTTTTTCCCTTCAAATACTTAATACCTGTTGGTTGTTAAAATCTTGATCTATACAGACTATTATAGATAATGAAAGGCTAGCTCCAAACCCTTAGGTGGTAACTTTAATTTTTTAGTTTTATCCAGCATTCCACTGTTTTAAAATAATTATGTCATGTTTGATACCAGAAATTATATATATATATATATATACACACACACATGACATGTACGTATGTAAAGTATAAAGCAAAGGGAACATTAATGAACCCATTTTCCCATTGAAATGTTTAGATGCATTTTGTATCCATTGTTTTTTTTTTTTTCAACTACTCTTACTTCGAGATCACTCCGTACAGAAATGTGAGCTGGTATCTTTTACTTGTGTATGATACACTGTCTATTCTTACAGCTGCTTGGACAATACCAGAAACACTAGCATAGGGTACTCCACCCTCTGGAGTGTTTCCCATGCCCCAGCATGGTAAACTCCTAAAGGAAGGATGCTGTTAATTGATTCTCCTGTCAGGGTTGGGACAAGCCAACTGCTTCCATATCCAAGGAATTGAAATTAAAGCCACAGATTGCAAAGTCGCAAATGAAACTTTGAATTCTTCTACTGCAAGAGAGCCACGGGTCACAATGAAGAAGGCCCGGCTAGGGCCTCGTTAGTGGGTGTACAGGGAAGAGGAGGTGGTTACTAAGGAGCTGGGGTTGTTCTCATTTTGATTAATATACTAGGTAGTATAATCATTTTCTGTATATGTTCCTTATTATGCTTCTGGCTTCAATCATACATTTGCCAAAATAGACATAAGATGGTAAATAGAAGATTTTCCTTTTTAAAAAAGAAAAATCACCTTTAGGGCTCAGTTTACCTTACTTGCTTCAGAGAGGGATGTACAACCATCCTGGTGCTGGGGGCGGGGCTTATGTTGCTAGGTGCGTCTCTTGGAGAGAAGTGTGTGTGCATACTATGTATGGTAAGGAAATTAGGCTGCCAAGTGCACTATTAGAAGACAGTGTACATATTTGTGCATATCCCAAACCAGATGAGTCCGAGGTTACTAAGCTATTCCGTACACTTCCCCGTCTCCTTACTTTCTAGCTCTTTCGAGCTTGGAACACTGGTTATCTGTCTTTATCGAAGGGAAATAGCTGTGTAGAACCGAGGTGTGGAGGAAAGAATTTTTACTGTATGCCATTTGTCCTTTTTGAACCATGATAAATGGTCAAAAAAACAAGTAGACAAAATTAGGGTTTTTTTAAAGTAAAATATTTTTTTTTCCTCCGTTAGGATCCTCCCTTCTGAGTCACTCTTTGAGGACAGTGAGTTATCAAGAGGGAAAACCTGAACCTGTGAAGCAGCCTCTTAAGAAGTCAAAGTTGCCAGTGGGTCGTTTCGATGCTCCAGAGGACTCACACCTGGAGAGGGAGCCGCTGAAGAGTGAGTGGAGTCACCGCTGTCTGTGCTTAGCACAGCAGAGAAATGCTAGCTCCTAGAACATGAGTGCAAGAACTGAAATGTGCTCTCGCTTGCTGTTAGCACTTCTAAAGGCTATGTCAGTGAGTTAAAATCCTATATGGACGGTCTGTGGGTGTGGTGCTTACTTCTTGAAAGGTTTCAGGTTGGTGAGACGCCAAGTGCATAAGTACTTGCCGGACATGCCTGAGGGTCAGCCAGAGCTTAGATTCCAGCACTCTTGGGCTGACAGCCATAACAGCCCAGTGTATTTCCAGCACCGAGAAGACACAAAGAGGCTCTGGGGCGAGTCAGCTCTCTAGACTATCTGAATTGACAGTCTCTGGGCTCAAATGAGAGACCTTCAGGTGGAGAGCAATCAGGAGAGATACCTGAAGTCAGTCTCTGACCTCTGCATGCACACACACAGAGGTACATGGATGCACACCACACAAAGTGCACAGATGCACCCACACAAGGCCACACATACAAGCATACACATGAAGTAATAAGGGCGGCGGGGCTGCGTTCCCAGCACCCCGGCCGCCTGCTCGGCTAGCTTATGCCCCAAAATAATTACACAGACACTGTATTCTTTTAAGCACTGCTTGGCCCTTTAGCTCTAGCACTTACAGGCTAATTCTCACATCCCGATCAACCCATCTCTAATAATCTGTGAGAACCGGTCTTACCGGGAAGATTCTAGCCTAGTCCATCCTGGGTCGGAGCTTCATGCCGGGAGCGGGGCATGGCGTCTCTCTCAGGCATCTGCTCCCTAGAGGAGAGCTGTCAAGTCTCTGACCTCACTTCCTCTTCCTCCCAGCATTTTGTTCTGTTTACTCCACCCACAGGGCCAAGCAGTTTCTTTATTGGCCAATGACCTTCCTCCATCATACACATGAGTATACACACATGTGCAACTCTCACCAAAAAGGTGTAAAGCTAGAAATCTTGGCACGTGTCTGGAATACCAGCACTCTGTAAACTGACAGCAGAGAATCAGGAATGTGAGGCTAGCCTGAGCAACACAGATGGTCTCAAAGAAAGGGTTTCTAAGTTTGAGTACTTTTTTAGTTATTTGGGGGGGGGGTGTTTGATTGTTTTATCTTATTGATTTGTTTTTACTAAACTTTAATTATTCAAAAGGTAAAACATATAAGTTAGTATCTTCTGTGATCCAAATAACAAACCTGCATTTGTTGATAACATTCTGCTGCTAAGAAAATCCACTGCCGTAGCTCATCATTGATGTACAGATAAAGCCGAGGCATCAAGGTGCAGTGAAGATGCCAGGCTTAGAAAACGACAGAACACAGGACTCCATACTGGAGAGAAGACATCGCTCATTCTCTTAGCTCTAATAACCTTCCTTCATTGTTCCCTGTCATCTGTCCACTGGGCACAAAGTGGCAACTGAAGGGACACTAGCCCACTCCAACGTGCAGCTCTGGCAGGCCTTCCCCTTCTCCCCCATTCCCTCCATCTTGCTAAAAACCATTGGATTACCTTCCTGAAGCAAACCCCCAAGGGCCACATTCACTCATTTGGCCACTTCCTCCTCCTGAGGCTGACTACCAGGATCCAGATGTCAAAAGATGAACTCCAGCGATCAAAACCCCTTTGACTCACCTAATTAACATGCCAGTTAAAATTGCACATCTCATCCTAACGCGGGGTTTTCCTTGTGCCTTTATAAACGACTAATTTCCTATGTGTCATGTCTGTCTCCTCTCTGTCCAGAGGTAGACCTTTATCCCTCCAGGACAGATACCCCTATCCTCTTTCCCTGGTTCCCTTTGCCCTTTCCTTGGTCCTCTATCTCCTGTCTTTGTCTCTTATTCCCTGGCCTTTGTCCCTCTGGGGCAAATAAATCTCCTTTGTGTTGAGAATTTGGTCTTGGGCTCCTGAGCCAATACTTTTCCTGTCTTTCAGAGTGTAATAGACTAAACATAATTTATCATTGTTTTTCTTCCTTCTCTAATTGTATGACTTTAATTATGCATATCTGTATGTGTATGTCTCTTTGTGTGTGGGTCTGTGCATGTAGTCAGAACTACTGTATTCCCTGGAGTTGGAGTTAGAACATCTGGGAGTCTCCTGCATTAACGCCAGGAACCAAATTCTGGTTCTCCAGGCTGGTTCTTATTTTGATTGTGTTGGGTGACTTTTCATGGGGAGATATTTAAAAGGTCAATTCATCCCAGATAGGGCGCCTGTAGGCCAAAGGAACGGTTCTGTCAAATCAGTGAGTCAGCGAACTTATTGGGATTCCCGGCAGGAGCACGGGAAAGGGATGTATGGGTTGCTTTTTCTTATTGCATTGATACAGTCCCTGACAGAAGCCGCTAAAGGAGAGGATGGCCTGTGGTGGCTCACGGCTTGAGAGGGGTGCAGCCCTATCATGACAGGCAGGCATGGTGACAGGAACGTAAGATGACAGCCACATTGTGTCTGTTGGCAGGTGGCAGAGGCAAATGCCGGTGCCCGGCTTGCTTTCTGGTTTTCAGGATCTCAGGCATGGTATGGGGTGAACGTTCAGGGTGGATCTCTCCGTCGATCTGGAAGCTCCCTCATAGAAACACCCAGATAGGTCTCCTAGGTCACTTCCTTGCACACATGACAGCTGAGATTAACTGTCACGTGAGGCTACTTACAGGAATATGGGCAAATCCCAATCAGGAAAGAGGTTCGTTTTGGCTTGCAGTACAGTTCTGGAGGCGAAAGTGCTAAAAGTGAAATGCTGGCATCTGGGCTTCAGCATGGCTTCCAAAACTTACCAGTTAGAGTTCAGTCCCGAACTCGGCTGTAGAGAAGACCGGTTCCTGAATAACCGGTCCTCTTCCCTCAACGCTCACAATCCAAGCTCATACACAACACACATACGCACATGCACACCAGCAATCAATGTCATTAAAACAAGTTTTAAATACGGGAGTGGTCAGTGAGGGAAGGTAGGTAACTCATTGGAAGAGTGCCAGCTCAGCAGGCGTGGAACCCTGGCCTCATGCTAAACCTGTAAATCTGACATGGTAGTGCATGCCTGTAATCCCAGCACTAGGGAGATGGACGGAAGGAGGTTAAGAAGTTGAAGGCAGGCAACCTGGGCAACATGAGGTCCTATTTCAGGAAGGGAATAAGGAAAGATATTGTCGCGAAGTGTTTGTTTATTTGTCTTGGTTTGATTTTTGTTTTATTTTTTGGGAAGAGATCTCACTCTGCAGCCCTAGCTAGGTGGCCTGAAATTCCCTTTGTAGACCAGGCTGGCCTCCAACTCACTCCTTACTCTGCCTCCCAAGAGCTGGGGTAAAAGGCGTGTGCCATCACATATGGTTAAATTTTTCAAAATGTTTGGCTGGAGATTGTCTGGCCAGCTCTATTAAAGTGTGATTTAAAGATACATATCTGTGAGTTTTCATAAATGTTTGCAGTCATGTAAACAACATTAAGTGTAAGTTATTATTCCTTACAGAGTTATCTTTTGCTTATTTTTAAATCAACTCCATCCCCACCTCTTCATTCAACCATTGATTCATTCTCAATCCCTGTAGTTTTGCTTTTTATAGGGTTTTATGTAAATGGCAGACTCTGTAGGCTGGCATCCTTTGCTCTGTCTACTGTGGAAGAGATCTGTTTTAGGAAGATGCTTTAGCACCCATGCACGGTGCGGCTGGAAATGTAAGAGGCAGAACACCGATGGCACAGCAGACCACGGGAGTGCTGAGTGAGACACTGAGTGTGTAAGGCAGGGGTAATAGGAGGAGGAGGAGGAATCAGTGAACTTCCAGGGTATAACAAACACAAAAGTCAGGAAGTACAGAGGAGAGAAGGGAAAACAGGAGGCTATAGTCAAAGAAGAGAGAGCTCAAGAGTGAGAATAGAAGAAGCACTCAGGGGACAAGGAAGTCCAGTGGGAGTCCAAGTGAGATGAGCCTCCTTATAAAGAGGTTTAGGGACTTTTTTTGTCTCCATGTGTGATGGTCCTTGGTGTGGATGTCGATACGATGGAGGACGGGGTGGTGGGAGATGACGCTATAATCTGATATTCATTGATGTGCTCAGCAGTGAGAAGGGGCATCTCAATGTGTGCATACCATTGTGTGTATGAATATGCACATACATGTGCATATAGTGTATTCATGTGCATGTATGTGCATGCATGTGTGTATGTGTTAAGGATCTCACTGTGTGTGTGTGTGTGTGTAGTAAGAGTGTCTCTGTGTGTGTGTGTGTGTGTAGTAAGAGTGTCTCTGTGTGTGTGTGTGTGTGTGTGTGTGTAGTAAGAGTGTGTGTGTGTGTGTGTGTGTGTGTGTGTGTGTGTGTAGTGAGGGTCTTGTGTTCTAGACTAACCCGGAACTGCTGGACTCAAATATTTCTCCTGCCTTCAGTTCCTGAAAAGCTGGGACTACAATCACACCGTTCAAACGAGCTCAGCATATTCTTTTTTGCTAGTACTGTCCAAGCCCTGACCCCAAATGTGAGGGTATTTGGAGATAATTAGGTTGGGATCATGTGGGTGAGGACCTCATGGTGGGACTAGTAGTACCCTTATGAGAGAGAAACTGGAACCCTCACTGCCTCCCTCTTTTCCAAGTGACAGTTCAGAGAGAAAAGACAGTAGTCTGTAGCTCAGGAAGAGGGCCTCACTCCAACCCAGCCAAGCTCCTCCACCCCACTGAGACTTTTAGTGCATAAGCCACACAGTCTGAGTGTTTTGTCTCAGCTTTCCCTGCGATCACACCCAGAGAATCCCAGGAATGGGGAGCAGAGGAGCTTCCATTATAGGCTTGGGGGGTAGCCCAGAATTTCCCCAGAAGACAGAATGATGACCAGGATAGGGGAGAGTTAGGCACAAATACAGAAAAGATAAAGATTGAAGAAATATTTGGAAAGTTTCAAGGTGAATTCTGTACCTTCTTTGGTTAGTCTGCAGAGGGGCTGCAGAATTTGGGGCAATGATCTTTTGAGTTTTCCAAAAATACACCATTCAAGATAGGAGGTTCTTTCTGACAGCTGGTTCTTCATCTGTTCTTTCTCTACACAAGGAGAGCAGCCTGTGGGTTTCAGTTCAGGTTCCATCCAGCTGTTCTCCCGCTGTGTGACACTCAACAACTCTGTACACCTGTAACATAGGGGCAGTGTTGTTTCCTGACTCATAGAGTTATTATGTGGACTGAGTGAGTTAAGGTGTATAGAACGCTGAGAATTGAAAGCCCAGTATCAGGTTATAACAGAAGGATCATCTGACTCTCAGCATTTAACACCAACCTGGCAGTATTAGTGATACCTAACATCAAATTGACCAATTAATTAAAAATTAAAATCGTCAGAATTTGACTTGACTCACAGTGAGGACTCCTATCAGGAAAATGTAGCACATTTGTGTGTGTGTGTGTGTGTGTGTGTGTGTGTGTGTGTGCGCGCGCGTGTGCGTGCACGCGCGAGCATATGCTTGCATATGTTTGTTACTGGAGACTGAACTTGACTCGTGCTAAAGCACGCATTCTGTTACTGAGCACTGTTCTCAACCCATGAACACACAGTATCAAGTCGATGATTTCACATAATGCTCGTACAACCCATCTGCTGAAGCCAAAGCCTCTGTTAAGGAGCAGTAGCGCTCACAAGTAAAACCAGTCACCTATACATACCTGTCTCTGTGCTAAACGCTTTACATACGCTTGTTCAGTCAGTGCTGTGAGGTAAGTATGACTACCACCTCCGATAGGCACACACCACGCATGTCATACCGGAAAGAAAATGGAGACATTGAACTTGTTTCTAAGCCTTCCAAGTTCAGTGAAGAAACACCCTGGCCTCACTGCTTCCCTCCTGTTGGGTCCAGCACCACATTTGAAACTATATTCTAGTAGTTTCTAGACCTGAAAGTGTTCCACGAATTGGAAGTCATTAGTGTTAGTGGTGAAGTTGATTGGATATGAAAAATGTCTATCTCAGGTTCCGGAGGTAGAAGAGGAAGAACCATGTATATGACTCTTTTAAAGACTGGATAAGCCAGGCACTCCCAACCAGCTTGTGCAGCCCTGTCCGCAAAGCTGACCACATTGTTTTCTTCCATCTTCCAAGGCTGACCGCCTTGTTCATGTCTCCTGTCTTCCTTAGAGTTTCCAGATGATGTGAATCCAGTCACCAAAGAAAAAGGTGGACCCAGGGGCCCAGAGCCTACGCGATATGGAGACTGGGAACGGAAAGGACGCTGTATCGACTTTTAAGTGGCACATTCATGAACTGCAGAACCTTTTTCTAATGACTTCACATTGTTTTCCTTTGAACTATCGTTGAAGTCATGTCATTTTCGTCCTGTGTTGTAAAAGACTGACGGCCTTGCGGAACAAACACTGCTGTAGATTAGGAAGGTGGAGACCCTTTTCCTTCACACGTCAGCTGAAGTCTGTCGGGGTGGGAGTGCCATGAGAGCTGCACGCCTTTGCCTTGATCGTTAGCGATTTAATCAGCTGCTTATAAAATGCACATGGAAATAAATAGTTTTAAAAGATTTTCTTTAGATTGATTATTTTATACGTGTGAGTGTTTTTCCTGCATGTAACTTTGTGCTTGGTGCTCATGAAGGCCAGAAGAGGGCACCAGACCCCCTGGAACTGGAGTTATGGGTTGTTGTGAGCTCTCATGTGTGCGGTGGAAACTGAACCCAGGTCCTCTGCAAGAGCAACAAGGTGCTCTAAACCTCTGTATTTATACCTGTATGTCTGTGTATGTGTGCACGAATGCAGTTGCCATAGAAGCCGGAAGAGGGAGTCAGGTTGTCTGGAGCTGTAGTCATGGGCTGTTGTGAGCCTGCTGACCTGGATACTGGGAACCAAACTCAGGTCCTCTGCAAAGTGGTACCCTGTCTTAACCACAAAGCCATCTCCCCACCCCAAGAAACTAACCTTTACATGGCTGTTGCTATGACTAGGTGTGCGCGTAAGTTTTCGTCAACTTTACATAAACCAGAGTCATTTTGGAAGCAGGAGCCTCAGTTGAGAAAATGTTTCTATCAGACTGGCCCTGTGGGCAAAGTCTGTGGAGCATTTTCTTCATTAATGACTGACGTGGGTGGGCCCAGTTACTGTGGGCAGTGCTACCATTGGGCAGGTGGGCCTGGACTGCAGGAAAAATCAAGTTGAACCAGCCATGGAGGACGAGCCGCTTAACTGCTCTCCTCTGCTCAGTTCCTGATGTACTGACCCTGCTTTCCCTTCATGATGGACTTTAAATGGTAAGATGAAACAAATTCTTTCCTATCTGAGTTGCTTGTAGCCAGTGTTTTATTAAAGCAACAGAAATAAACTTAGGACACTAGAATAGTAGCTTTAAAAGATTTTGCGTGTGTGTGTGTGTGTGTGTGTGTGTGTGTGTGTGTGTAAAGAGAGAGAGTGTATGAGGGCAGATGTGCGGAGTGAATTTTCTCCCTCCAGCTAGGTTCCAGGAATCAAGAAGTCAGGTGGTCAAGCTTGTGCAGTAGGCCTTTGACCCAGTAAGCCACCTCACTGGCCCAATAGTGACTTTTAAAATGGGGGCTAAGAAATAACAATGAAGGCCATAGTGATCATACAGAATATTTAATTTGGAGCCAAATGACTTAAACTCAGTTCTGGCCCCACTTCTTGATGTCACTATCACCCCGAATCTGTGATTAAATGTCCCTGTACACTGTAGCCCTTTGTGTAAACTGGGGATAATAGTGGCTGACAGGACAGTTGGGTAGATTAAATTAATGAATTCATGTGTGTAGTGTGAATTCTAATGGGGCTTAATAATAAAAACCAGGAGTCAGATATCAAGGTGGACGCTGATGGATAAGAGAAGCAGAACAGCCAGCCCCTAGGTCTTACCTCTACCTCAGACCAAAAGGGCAATCCCACCTCTATGAATCCTTGGACTGAGTGCCATGAGCTCCTGCCTCCTCCTGCCTTCTATTGCTCTCTCTGTGTCCTAGTGCTGGGATTAAATGTGTGGGCCTCCACCGCCCCGCCAGTTTCTTCTTTAGACTGATTCAATCTCACAGAGCCCAGGGTGACCTTGAACTCCTGATCTTTCCACTTCTTTCTCCCAGATTTGGGGATTGAAGGTGTGTGCGTGGTTGACTAGTGACTAGCTCCACCCTCTCATCTCCAGACAAGCTTTCTTTGTCAGAAACAAGCAAAATGTCACACAACACTATGCCTCAGGATTCCCGAGAGAAACAACCATGGGGAGGGATGTGTTAGTGTGTGCTCATGTGTGTGCCCGTGCGCGAAAGAGATTATGAGGAATTAGTACAGGAACAGGTCCTCTCTCCACTATGTAGATTCCTGGGATTGCTCTCGGGTTATCAAGCTTGGTTGGCAGCAAGTGCTGTTAGCCACTAGGCCATCTTGCCAGCCCGAAGACTGAGTTTGAAAACGGCCTGGGCAGCGGTTTCTTTAAAAGCCTTTAAGAGGGAAAACAAAAACTTGAACAAAAAAACAGCAAGAAGAGATGATTTCTTCCAGAAGCATCCTTGTAGATGTCTGAGGGCAATTTTAGCATGCATGTCATTTTCTGTAGATCGTGACACATGTCGTTTCTTGTGTTCACTATTCTTTTTTTTTTGTTTGTTTGTTTGTTTTTTGTTTTTTGTTTTTCGAGACAGGGTTTCTCTGTGGTTTTTGAGCCTGTCCTGGAACTAGCTCTTGTATACCAGGCTGGTCTCGAACTCACAGAGATCCGCCTGCCTCTGCCTCCCGAGTGCTGGGATTAAAGGCATGCGCCACCATCGCCCAGCTTGTTCACTATTCTTAACCATGGATGTGTTTTTCCAAATCACCAGGCTTCCTGTGGGAATGATTAAGAAAAGCAAACTTTGAAATATTTGAATTAAAATACTTTTATGTGAATTCGTTGAAGAATTATTAGTTAACAATAGTGATAATATGGGTGGGTGGAATGAAATGCGTATTAGTCAGTGAGATATAAAATTAGGGTGTAGAAAAGCAGAGGATGGAAGAGTCTACTCAGTTGACTTCGATAGCAGCCTCTACCCCGTGGTTAGAGCTGCCTCAGATCCTCCAGGCTCGCCAGAAGCATCTTCTGCTGAGTGTCCTCTGTTGCAGAGTTTGGGCCTTCAGCCCTCCTGACTGTGTGAGTTGCTCCAGAAGAACGGGTTTGCAGAGCCAACAGACAGTAGCATGCAGAGGGCTAACCATTGAGTGATGTGAGTTCTAAGTGCGCTATGACAGGAATATGCGGAAACCATCGGAGAGGACAAATGTGATGATGTGTATGAGTGCTTTGGCTGCGTGTATGATGTATATACGTGCACCATATGCATGCTTGGTGCTTGAGGAGGTCAGGATATTGGATTCCCTGAAACTGGAGTTACAGATGCTTGTGAGCTGCCAGGTAGGGCCTGAGAACTGAACCCTGGTCCTCTGCAAGATCAACAAGTACTCTTAACTGCTGAGCCAACTCTCCAGCCAGTGGCTAAACACTTTAAACTAGGTCAAGCAACTAATTCATATGCTAGTTAAACTGTATTTGTTTTTATCAGTTGTCATCTATAAGTTAACATTAGGTTTTTTTTAAAAAAAGATATTTTTATTTTATGTGCATACAGTTGTCTGCTTTTGTTTGTACGCCAAGTGCATGCAGTGCCCTTGGAGATCAGAATAGGGTGTCAGATCCCCAGGAATTGGAGTTACAAGTGGTTGTGAGCAACCAACAATATTTGTTCTCTTTATTGTAGTTTCTGCTAAGTAAAAATATTTTGAAAATATTCTGTAATTTAGTCAACCTCCTAAATTTAGTCAACATTTACTAAATTAACCTTCTGAAAAATATGCAAAATTATTTTGAATTATTAGCAAAAGACCATAAAAAGTCAAAATTATGTTGCTCTATACTATTTGTCACAATATGTGAACAAGAAAAGAGTTTAGATACTTCCAAAGCAAGTATAAGTAAGTAAGTTTTTTTCCTTTTATCCTAGGATTTGGGAGACAGAGGGAGGTGGGTCTCTGGGAGTTTGAAGCTGGCCTTATCTGTGTAATGAGTTCACACACACACACACACACACACACATCTATACATATGCATATGGTAAACAAAATCTTAAGATAATAAACCCTTGCTAATAATAACATATTTCAGGCCAGTGAAATGGCTCAGCTGGAAAAGGCACTTGCTGCCAAGTCTAATGACCTTAGTTCAATACCCTGGACTCCATGGGGAAAGGAAAGTACAATCCTGTACAATAAAGGAACTTCTGGAGGCATCACAAGCTCTGACTTCAAACTCTACTACAAAACTACAGTATTGAAAACAGCGTGGTATTGGCATAAAAACAGACAGGAGGACCAATAGAACTGAATCAAAGACCCAGATGACAATCCACATGCCTACGAACACCTGATTTTTGACGAAGAAGCTAAAAATTTAAAATGGAAAAAAGAAAGCATATTCAACAAATGGTTTGGGCATAACTGGATATCAACATGTAGAAGAATGAAAATAAATCCATATCTATTGCCATGCACAAATCTCAAGTTCAAATGAATCAAAGACCTCAACATAAAGCCAGCCACACTGAACCTCATAGAAGAGAAAGTGGGAAGTTCACTTGAACACATTAGCACAGGAGACCACTTCCTAAATATAACCCCAGTAGCACAGACACTGAGAGAAACAATTAATAAATAGGACCTCCTGAAACTGAGAAGCAAAGTACATGATCAACAAGACAAAATGACAGAATGGGAAAAGATCTTCACCAGCCCCACATCAGACAGAGGGCTGATCTCCAAAATATACAAAGAGCTCAAAAAATTGGTCATCAAAAGAACAAATAATCTGATTTAAAAAATGGGTATAAACTTAAACAGAGGACTCTCAACAGAGGAATTTAAAATGGCTGAAAGACACTTAAGGAAATGTTCAACATCCTTAGTCATCAGAGAAATGCAAATCAAAACAACTCTGAGATTCCATCTTACACCTGTAAAAATGGCCAAGATCAAAAACACTGATGACAACTTTTGCTGGAGAGGATGTGGGGTAAAGAGAACACTTCTGCATTGCTGGTGGGAATGCAAGCTGGTACAATTCCTTTGGGTGTCAGTGTGGCAAATTCTCAGAAAATTAGGAAACAACCTTCCTCAAGTCCCAGCAATACCACTTTTGGATATATACCCAAAGGATGCTCAATCGTACCACAAGGACATGTGCTCAACTATGTTCATAGCAGCATTGTTTATCATAGCCAGAACCTGGAAACAACCTAAATGCCTCTCAGCTGAAGAATGAGGAAGGAAGATGTGGTACATTTACATAATGGAGTAATTACATAGTGGAAAAAAATAATGGCATCTTGAAATTTGCAGGCAAATGAATGGATCTAGAAAATATCATATTGAGTAAGGTGACCCAGACCCAGAAAGACAAATATCATATGTACTCACTCATAAGTGGCTCTTAGACATAAAACAAAGAAGATCAGCCTACAATTCACAATTCCAGAGAACCTAGACAACGATGAAG